TTTTCTAATCAAAAGGAAGAGTATATACAGTCAAGCCTGAAATGATTCATATCCCTGGCAAATTGTGACGCATTTCAATTACAATTGTAAAGTTTTTGTTCAAATGTAAATAAAAGCTAAGAAAAAAATACACAACAGATTGACGTTGAACCCCAATTTCATGGGGACGTTGCAATTTGTTTGGAAATGAAAATCAGGTTGATGTCAATGTCAACGTCCTAACAACCTAAAATCAACCAAATATCAATGTTTAATGAAGTTACAGCTTGACATGTGGATGTTACCCCTATGACGTCTATCAGACATTGGATTTTGGTTGCCATACCTGATGAATAAATGTATTTGATGGCAATATATTAGTTTAAGATGTTGGCTCTATGTTGGATTTTGGTCACTTTCTAACGCAACCTAAAACAACCAAATATTGGGTATGGATCATTTTCGGGCTTGACACTAACTCCTGTTTTATGTTCACTATACTGCTTGCCTGTCTGTTTTACAGTTAATTATTTTTACCAATGCAAAAATTTTATTTTTTTTTAGCCACTGTTTATCTTTAGCATCAACTCACTCAAGGGCTATATAGGGGATATTGTGCGTGTATATTATATTCTGCCAACTTACATGGAGAGTAACTAGTAACTAGACAAACTGGTGGTAACATTGGGAAAGCCATTGTCACGAGTCCCTTTTGACGGTTGGGTCTGCCTAGGACCCTGGGTGATCCTATTGCTTAACTGAAGTTGTAATAGGTATATTTTGTAGCACCTGATAAAAAATGCATATATATATATATATATATATATATATATATATATATATATATATATATATATATATATATATATATATATATATATATAAGGGGTTTTTAACCTGTATTTTATAGGAGAGTATAGTGGACAGAAAAAGCAAAGAGAGAGAGATGTCCTCACACTAACCACTAGGCTATTGACGCGGATAGAGGTCATGCTTTCTGCCCCAGGTTCTGGAATCCCTTGCCAATACTCATAGGACAAGCTTAGCATCTTTAAGTCGAGGCTAAAGACGTTCTTTTTTTTCAATTGATATGGCTTATGGGATACTTGTATGATTTCTTAACTTTTCTGTTTGTTTAGTTGTGTGTGTTTTACAGCTTGCAGGAAAACACATTGGTCAACAGGAGATGTAGTTAATTGTCATTGTCAACTTTGCCTTCCATACTCAAAGTTATTTAACATGTTGCGGGCTCCTCAACTGATAATATGTAACTGACAACAGCTAATTTTACTTGATTATTTATTATCATCAATTCTAAGCTTGTTTTCAAAGCTTCCGTTGTGTGTTTGTCTTGCAAGAGTTGGCAACGCTGATGTCTGACCAGATCTCCTGGCGTGTGCCGTCTGCCCCATCTGTCTCAGACTGTCTTGCTCCACGTTCCCCACGGAGCCCGCTGTCATAAATATTGCCTTCACGTGTGTGTGCTACTGTAAGAAAAACACACTGGTACTCAGCCACACCTGCTGTCGGTGCTGTTGGGTGATGCTTGGCTAGAGAAAGAGAGAGAGAGATAGACCCGGTGTCATTGGAGACTGAGAGCTCATGGTTAATGTGTGGAAACAGATGTGGATTTCAGCAGTCAGTGAACATGATCAATAATGTGGAAATAAAGCATTATACAGATGCATGACAGAGATGAGGCTGAGAATGTCATTTTAGCCTTGAGGTAAATGTTGATTTTGAAGTCAATGGACCACAAATGAGCATGCTTTGAATTTTTAGATAATACTCATAGTGTAACCATGCTGAAGAGGCTAAAATGAGTTTCTAGGTTGCTTCGTGTTGGCTTAGTTTGGGCTGATAGACGGGCATTGTCATAGTCTTTCTAGTTAGGAGAATGTTGTTAATTAAACTAGTTAAGATTTCTATTAACATAAGCTATACCATTAAACAAAATCCCAAACACACCATACTGGAACTTTAAAGGTGTTACTTTAAAGGCTAAAGACCATGGTCTCTAGCGTCCATCGCTAAGGCCCCTATTGAGGTCAGATGAGTGAGGTTTACCTGGGGTGTGTTTCCAAAAACCATGGTTTGCCAACTAAAGTCGCAAGTTGCATCATTACACACTAGGGCTGGATGATTCACATTTTTTTTTGCTTAAAATCAAGGTCACGATTTGTTCTCACAATTCTTTATATGTAAAATAAAGGTTAATATGAGTAGGCTATTATTGTTAATTCTCAAACATATCGTCACTTTGGAATTATAAGATTCTATCTGCATTCTAAATGATTGTTTTGAGATATTGAGCTTCAAAGCTTTTGCAATCCATATAGCAACCAGTATGTGTGTAACATTAGTTTTTTTTTTTGTCTTAAAATGTAAACAATAAGTTGTCATTTAATAAGAATATGTCAATAATTATAGAACCAGATAGAACCTTATAAATCTAAAGTGACGATATGGTAAAACAACAATAATAATATTAGGCCTATGTGTAGCTCTACTGTTGCTTAAAATACAAAATTGTGTACAGTCATTATGGTGGACTTGAACAGACTTTCAATATGTCCTGTTTGTTAATTCACAGTAAAATGATGCCATCCGAACACAACTATTCATAATTATGAAGTTGAATTATTGTGTTTGAGACATGTGCTTGTCATTTGTCATTAACAGCATTATTAGACCATTTGTTTTCACTGGTAAAATCAGACATTTGTCATTATCAGATTTGTTCTTGCATTATACTCAACATTATATAAGCTAGAGTAGCTATACTGACACTGTAAAGCATTTATTTTCATGCACAACACTATGTGCTTGTCGTAATCATAAATGTAAAATGCGTTATGATCATTTCAATGATGTGCGGCCAGTTTCATTTTCACTTCCGAGTGCGGCTCATGGCTGCCGTCACTATGATAAAACACACATGCAAATCATTTTTTCAATGCAGCTCTCAAACAATCGCTCTGTACAACAAACTGAACGTTATTTACAACTTTATTTACTTGTTATTCACAGCCTATGCAGGTTCTGATCACTAAAGTAGCCGTCATTGGCATGCTGAGTGCATGTTCTTGACAGCTCGTGATCATCTCACGTGTGATTTCGCAGCCGCAAATACATCATTACATGAAGACAGAAATGACATTTCTGGTTGAATTATACTTTATAAATACAGTATGTGACACTTTTAACGCCATTTGAAGGTGTTCATGTTCATGTGAAGACTTGTGCGTCCGCCTTTAAGCTTCTTTCCTGACCTTGAAAATATAATTGGCTGAATTGTAGATAAAGCTGAATTAAGATCGTGTGTAGAGTCGAATCGAGATCGCAATCTTTTTTCGATTTATCGTGCAGCCCTATTACAAACCTAGTTAGATGATTTGGCGTTTCCCAAATTTATCGTTCCAACGAAACAATCGTTCCACGCAAACTGTGTCACAAACTTGTAAGCTTATGACTACACCTCTGGTGCTGTAAGAAACTCAGTTCCTGGCTGTGTTCATTTGGAACATTCTAACATTTAAACTTGAAATGATTCATAAACAGCATTAAAGTCATCTCTCTTAGGTGTAATTTGCTTTCAAAGTATATTTACAGTTCAGTTTTAGCAATCTTCATGCTCACAATTGCTTTGCCTTCGCAGTGCACTTTGAAAACATTGATGTCATTTTTAACACAGCCGGGGATCATGACGAAAGCTATAGGTGATTTTATTTAAAAGCGGAATTTAGATTACGTCTCCAAGTGTCTGTACTGTATATGACATGGGCCTGTTGGTTAGAACATTTCTGCAGCGGTTTGAATGTGTCAAATTTTCAAAAAATATCCTACTTAATAATAATTATAATTATAATAATAATAATTATCATCCTTAATATTATTATTAAAATAGGATTTTTTCATTTCCTAATAAATAATACATTTCATTTCTTAATAGATAGTCTCATTATTTATTTATTTAAATGCTTTATATGTGATATTAGAATACGTGTTGGCGTTTGTATTTTATGTTTTAGAATAGAATATGTAATGTTCTCAGCAATATTTGTAAAGGAAACACAGGCTCTATATGTGCCATTTACATATATTTCAATTAATAGGCAAAACGAGTGCATGTTTTTACTAAACTAATATTGGATTTTTTTTTTTAAATGTGTTTGCGCGTAAAACAATATCATTTGCACAAAGAAATTATGGGGTTCTTCTCTATAGAAATTGTTACCACACCATTTAGAGCATCATTATGGGTGTTTTATGTTATAACTAATGTGGTTTAAACGACGGATCTGTAATGGAAACTACAGGTTTTAGAAAATACTTGTCACTACATCGTTCTTTTCCCAAATGATGCATCATACTATGATAGTTTGTGAAACGCACCCCTGTATAGCACTTTGCTAGTTGGCCTCCATTACACTCACCCCCCTAAACCTTACTCCCATCCTGGATGAGCACCCACATGTAACCTGGTCCTACTGCTTCCAGCCCGCTCAGAGCTGGGATTGGACCAGCAATTCTTTGTTTAGGGGTCAGTTGCTCTAAGAAGGAGACTAAAAGCCTCTAGCATCTGTCACTAGAGCACCTTTTTAGGTCAGAGGAGTGAGGTTTACCTGTATAGCACTTCGATAGCTGGCCTTTGTTACACTCACCCCCCTAAACCTTACTCCAATCCCGGACGAGCCGTTTAATATTATAGGCTGGTTGTTTTTACTCACAAACACCAGTGTTTAATAAACAGGTAAAGTGAATTTTGCATAATAGGTCTCTTTTAAACAAAAGATGACTTGACCCCTCTGGCACTCATGTTTTAATTTGAACCTTACTGGTGTTTGTAAAAACAGATTCAGGGACTGATCTGGTGTGCAAGTAAGCAAAAGATGTAAGGCAACATAATTGAACACTCTAAGCTTAATAGAGACTTCTTGCAGGCCCATTTATCTGGCTGTCTGTGGTGAGTTCCTCTTATCTCAGCTACCTGTCTGCTCTTATGTGTTTGCTTTTAACAGTTTGGGAACTCCAGCTACTGTGTTGGATCGGAGACGACATCTGTGGCTTCAGCCTTCTGGGCCATGAGTGGTTTCAAGGGCCAGGATGTGGAAAAACAGGGCATCAAGTTGCCAAAAAAATGGATTGATCACAATGACAAAGTAAGTTTGGCTTTGCTCTAACCCTATGCTATTTTTCATCGGTGAATATTGAGAAAAGTTCATTGGAACTTCAGCTACAGTTGGCATTAAAATACTTTTTTAGTTATCCAATTGCATGTGGTCTGCTGAGATGCCTTGCTAGTTTTATTTATGTTCATCTATTTTGATGATGTGTGAGGATTTGTTGAGATCATCTTATGTTATCAGAGTTTGATTTTATAGTTAAAACTTGCATTAGGTTGACAGGAAAATGTGCCATTTTAATAAACATTGCTGTCAATTAAAACTGAATTTAGAAATAGTTGAAAACTGATCTTTGCTCTTAAATGAAATCACAATATTAAATATGTAGGCTAAAACCTGGTTTATACTTCTATATAAATATAATTGTATATCCTGGGTTTATACTTGCATAGCCCCTCGCCCTGGCTGTCGGCATCGCTGATGTGCACCTCTCAAAAAATGTAACGCGTACGCGTAGCGCAAGCTCTATGATTGGTCGGCTTGGTAGCGCTGACGAGTCTGGGCAGGACCGAGAGCCGCCCGAGCCCATTAAGGAAGCGTTTAGAAAAAACAAAACACCAGCGAAGAAACTCGACACAGAGGAACATTAACACCTCACTGCCAACTAGCGTTTCGGAAGTGTTATCGCAGAACAACAGAAACAGCACGCAGAAGTATAAACGCACAGCTACGCGTATTGCATGCGACATGGGTCACACTGATCACTTGAAGCAGAAGTATAAACCAGGCTTAATGAATGTGCTCAGTGGAGTGCGTCCACCATAGTTTCCTTACTCCATGAAAGTAAAGTAAAGAGTAAAAGTTATGTAAAGAGAAAGTAAAGAGACTGAATGGAACATGTTATGCTCAAAACACACCCGTAACCCATTAAAGGGCCATGAAACCCCCTCGTTTCAGCAGGGTGTTTTTACACCTCTACTTTGGAAAAAGTCAGAAAAGTGGGCGTGTCCAGCTCTGTTTAGGGGGGAGTGTCGGAGGAACTAAAGTGGGATGGTGTGGGAGTGTCTATTTGGGCACGCGCGAGTTTCAGTCAAAATACACACAGATGAGAAAGTGATGGTGTTTAACCTACATGGACATCTGTAGTCGAATTATTTGCCAAATTATTAAATGGTGGACTTTAACTGCAGTTTGGATCTTTCATTCAGGGAATTCATTCATGCCCCTCGCGACAAATGCGATATTTGATTCGAGGATCTGCTCTAAGCGTGTATTTTCATGCAATGTTTGATACCGCACGGCGAATGAGAGAAAAAAAACTCTGCATTTCCCGGAAACTTAGATGCACACGGCAGGTAGCGTCAGAAAGCCGCGTGTGTTATTCCGGTCACAAAATGCGGTGCTATGTTTGCACTCAGTGCAATAGTTAACTTAATTCGTAATACGAACAAACTGAATAAACAAAGAGCACTGGTCGCTCACTTACCAAATCTGTAGAGACAGGACAATCACCAGCAACTAGAGCCGCGTCTTTATGAAGAGGAGACTAACGTTACAAGCGAATCCGGATTTCAGCGTTTGCAGATGAGAACAGCTCTCAGGTAAACAATGTTCCTCCTTAGACTCGTAAGTTATTGTTGTCGAGCGTCGCGTACACTTTTAATCCACACGTGACTCTGAGCTCTCACAGAGAGAAAATGAAAACGAAACTTAATGGCAGCAAACTATAAAAGCAACACTTCACGCTTGTTTTGCCAACACAACGTGGCGTACACACGGTGACACTAATGAATATTAATGAAGTTGCACAATAGAGCGCGCTGATTGGCTTGAACCAAGCCTTACTCATGCATTAATGCAGCAGGCTGTAAGACGTAATAAGACTCACTCTGGCACAGACGCCCAGTCTGCACGCTGGAATACAACGCTATTATGTCATGACCGTGACGCAGCTTCAAAAATTCGTTTCAAACCGGAAGTACGAATTTGCTTGAAATAACGCAAAAACAACCAATTTACACTTTTTAGTGAAATATAGGTGTCCTAATAGTGTTTTTAGCAGTGTGGGACACATATACGACTGTCAACAGCTCAAAAAATGTGTTTTGGTGTTTCGTGACCCTTTAAGAGAATAATCACAAACCATTTACACCATGTGCTGTGCAGACACCATATTTTTTTTTATTCTTAAAATAATAAAATGTTATTCAGACATTCCCCTAATGCTTATGCATCATGCGCATTAGACATAGTGCTTTGATTGTTAAAATAGATCCCTTAATGTTAAAAAAGTATACCAAAATATCATGATGCTTGTCTTTATTAACACCATAAATTTGTTTGATTAAAGGCTCAATTTGCAAGATTTTTATTAAAATATCCAATTGTGTATGAAGAGTTCAGATGTAAAACCCTCTAAATCCATCAGACCTCTTTTCTTGTAAATTAGCATTTTCTATCAGGCTCCTCTGATTATGTTCAGAAGTTTAATTTAATAGATATTGAAAAGGTTATTACAAATAAAATAGCTTTTTTTAAATTCTTTGGTTTTTTTATCAAGGTAGATTTTCTTTTGCATCAAAACCAGCTAAATCCACCCATTGGAAGAAAACATTGTAATTAGCTGAAAAATCACTGAAGATGCATTTAGAATTTATTTTACCAAAGATAAAACACATTCACAAACCACCAAAAATTAAAAATACATAAATCTGTCAAGCAAGTGGCGGTTCCTTCCACTGTGATTTGAAGCAAATCTATTTGTTGATGGTGTACTACGTGCCTAAAGCATTCACTTAATGTCATCATCTCATTTTTGGCGGAAGTGGCATTTAGCGGCTTTTGCATCTGAACTCCTCATATTTTATGATGCCTTTTGTACTTACATTATCCCAGAGGTTTCAAAGAATGTTCAGACCAGAGAAATAAGCCATTTTAACTAGCGAGGGTGTGCTGTTTAGCCAAGCTAATGATACTACACACTTTCAACATGGCAGTCATGCTCAGATTCACACCAGGACAATTAATCACTTATAAAGCTTTAGAATGAAAATCATGAAAATAAGCAGTTGTAATGATACTTAAAACATTCTAAATTAATAGATAACTACTTTCAGAAATAAAAATATGAGAACTATTAAAAGGCTCCATATCTGTACCCCAGAGATACGCTTTTGTATTTTTAGGTAATATCATGTACAGCTTGTATACCTTTATTTCTGTGAGAGTATCAAATACACAAGAAGCAGGATTGTTGTAGTTGTTTGCATTTACTTTAAGGCTATAAAAATGTATAATGTCACGATTTTGTGTTTGCAGTTGGGTCTGTGAGAGTTTAGGCAGAACTTTGCTGCACTTCAATATAAGAAAGAAATAGACATGATAATGAAATGCAGTTCAACTTTGAAAACGACATCTAACACATTAAATGATATTGTCACTATTTTAGTCTCTTCACACTTTTTAAAACTTCTACTTTTTCCATTCCTCAAACAAACTGCAGGTCCCCACAGACCGTACAATGGTGGTTGGGGGAGTCGTGGGTGGAGGAGATTGTTCTGAACCCGTAGGAGCTCCTCTGAAAAAACGCCGCCAGCGATACGTGGAGAAAGACGGCAAGTGCAACGTCCACCACGGAAATGTGCGTGAAACCTACCGCTACCTGACAGACATCTTCACCACGCTAGTGGATTTAAAGTGGCGCTTCAATCTGCTGGTCTTCACACTGGTCTACACCACCACATGGGTGTTTTTTGGCTTCATCTGGTGGCTCATCGCCTACGCCCGAGGAGATCTGGAGCACACTGATGATAATGACTGGACACCTTGTGTGAATAACCTCAATGGCTTCGTCTCAGCGTTTCTTTTTTCCATAGAGACTGAGACCACCATTGGTTACGGGTATCGTGTGATAACAGACAAATGTCCAGAGGGGATCATCCTGCTTCTGATTCAGGCCATTTTGGGCTCCATCGTCAACGCCTTTATGGTGGGCTGCATGTTTGTGAAAATCTCCCAACCAAAGAAACGAGCCGAAACACTCATGTTTTCCAACACCGCTGTGATATCCGTGCGGGACAGCAAGTTGTGTTTGATGTTCCGTGTCGGTGACTTGCGTAACTCGCACATTGTGGAGGCCTCCATTAGGGCGAAGCTTATCCGCTCGAAACAGACGAAGGAAGGAGAGTTTATTCCTCTCAACCAGACGGACATCAATGTGGGCTTTGACACGGGGGACGATCGGCTGTTCCTCGTGTCGCCGTTGATTATTTGCCACGAGATCAACAAGAACAGCCCATTCTGGGACGTCTCTCAGGAGCATCTTGTACGAGAGGAGTTTGAGATAGTGGTCATCCTTGAAGGAATGGTGGAAGCTACAGGTAAGCGTAGATTTTAGAGAATGAGAGAGACTGGGGAAATCATAAGTTTTGGATTGGAATTTGGGTTTTCATGCTGTTTGACTACAGTGTTAGGGAAAAACAGTAGACTTCAGGGTAATACTTTAAAATAATGTCCCATGGGTAATGTATTTACTAACTTGAACAAACAGTTAGTAATACATTTATCATGGAATGAATACATCTTTGATACCCTTAGGTAATGTTATTTAAGTTAAACAACTTTAGTTCATGTTAACTCACAGTGCATTACCTAATGTTAACAACTTTACATTTTACTAATGCATTAGTAAATGTTAAACTATAATTAATAAATGATTTACAAGATCATTAATACTTAGTTAATGTTAGTAAATGCATTACCTAACATAAGCTAATTGACCTTTAATCTAAAGTGTTACCGACTACATTCAAAAGTACAGAAATATAAAGTATAAAGGCTTAGTCAGTGGGTGCCAGCAGCAACCAGCATTATTCAAAATATCATTTTTATTTTGTTCAGTGGAAGAAAGAAACCAAAACTTGACTGGAAGGATGAGTAAACGATTTCAGAATTGTAATTTTTGGGTTAAATCAGTGCTCAATTTATAAATTGTATGCATAAATTCATACATGTACATGTTTATTAACTGCCTGCCATTTGAAAGTAGTCATGCACATTTTTTTTTATTAAAATGCAAGTCATATATATATATATATATTCAGCTTACCGGGTGACGCGGTGGCACAGTGGGTAGCGCTGTCGCCTCACACTAAGGAGGTTGCTGGGTCAGTTGACATTTCTGTGTGGAGTTTGCATGTTCTCCCCATGTTGGCGTGGGTTTCCTTCAGGTGCCCCGGTTTTACCCACAGTCCAAAGATATGCGGAACAGGTGAATTTGGTAGGCTAAATTGTCCGTAGTGTGAATGAGAATGTATGGATCTTTACCATGATGGGTTGCAGCTATAAGGGCATCCGCTGCATAAAACATGTCCTAGATAAGTTGACAGTTCATTCCCCTGTGATGACCCCAGATTAATAAAGGGACTAAGCCGAATAGAAAATGAATGAATCAATAAATATTAAAATGTGTTAAACCAGTGCTTACTTTCCATCGTAGTGGCTATTTCAACAGTTTCGATTTAATTGAAAACTTTTCAAGAATATCATAAATTTCAAACTGAAATAAAAACATCAAATGACTTCTAAATCACTACAGGATTAAGATTGATCCAGTTGATGTAGACCATTTTCTTAGAATGCAAAATTACCCATAAGTCTTTGCGTGTAAGTGTAAGGAGGATGCTTCAAATTTCCGGTTGACAGCTTGATGTTTATAGAAAGTCACATTTGGACCGCTTGGAAAGTTTTAATCTATTTTACTTGCTTTTAATGTCTTTGAACTAATACTGCTGTTGATCAGCGCCACCTCCTGGACTGATCATTTAAAAACTGTCATCTATTGGAAATGGAAAACAACCACTGTTAGTCATTTTGCCCTCATCGTCAGACGGCATCTTGTGCCATTTAAATGAAGCACTGTCATCGCTAAAGTCAACATTTTCTTTTTTTTTATGTATAACCTTCCTAAACAATTATAATTCACCAAAATGTTTGACACACACATGTAGTCTACTGTACTGTCCCACTAAAGGCTGATTTATACTTCTGCGTCAAGCGCACGCGTATGCTACAGCGCAGCCTACTCGTGTATGCAGAGCCCTCGCCGTGGCCATCGGCATTGCTGACGCGCACCTCTCAAAAACTGTAACTACACATCGCAATAACGTGTAGCGCAAGCTTTGTTATTGGTCAGCTTGGTAGTGCTGACGAGTGTGGGCAGGACCGAGAGCTGCGCAAGTCCCGTAAAGGAGCTCCAGATGAAAAATTTTGTTTTGTGTTTACCTTATGGTTAAAGTTGTTGCACATCCACTGGTTCCTGCCTCAAAATGAGCGAGTTTGAGCCACTTGTACATTAAGGAAGCATTCAGAAAAAACAAAAGACCAGCGAAGAAACTCGACACAGAGGAACATAAACACCTTATATGCCCGCTAGCGTTTCAGAAGTGTTATTGCAGAGGAATACAGCGTGCAGAAGTATAAATGCACGGTAACGCGCAAGGCATGCGCCGTGAGTCACACAGATCACTCCACGCAGAAGTATAAACCAGGCTTAACACACTGATCCATGACTAGCACAAAATGAAAATAAAGTGGCATTTTGAAATTACAGAAAAACACATACCATGGTAAATACTACACAATACAAACCAACTAATAGAAACATAAACTGCTCCTGATTACAATCAACATGCAAGTCCATCAAGAATACATTTTTTATGGATGATATTTTCTAGTTTTTTTTATATATTTGTGGTAACATAAGAAATGTGAAATATACAATACAGTAATTGGACATGCATGATTGCACTTTATACGTAAATCATTCGTACACAAATAAATGTACTGTATAAAAATAAATGTTCTTTTTTATGTGCTATTGACTCTTGTCAACAAATATCAGATTTTTGTGAACCGTAATGTGGTTGACTGTCATGGTGAAAAAACAACTAAACATTTTAAGCAGTGTGGCTCACACGATGACAAATACACTTTATGTTTTGGTGGCTTTGGCTAAATTACTGACACAATAACTAGGTTTTGATGCTGGAATGAAATGTTTTAGGAGAGTAGCTACATTTTGCCGACATGAAATAAAGTTCTTAAGTTCCAGCAAACAGTTTTGGCATTTGCACTCACAGTTTAGAGGATGTTAAGTCTGTTTTGAAAAATGTGCCAAAGCAATTGAGAAAAACTGTAAATGGTCTGATATAACCATTTCATCTTCATGGTGCTTTTTGCGTCATTTTAGGTATCTTTATAGCCAAAATCCTTGTTAACTTTCATTATTTTAAAGGTTTTTGTGAGGATATTCTTGTTAAAGGGCCATGAAACCCCCTTGTTTCAGCAGGGTGTTTTCACACCTCTACTTTGGAAAAAGTCAGAAAAGTGGGCGTGTCCAGCTCTGTTTAGGGGGGAGTGTCGGAGGAAGAAAAGAGGCTTGGTGTGGGAGTGTCTATTTGGGCGTGCTGAATTTCAGAGTCAAAACACACACCCAACAGGGGAGAAAGGGACTGTTTCCATGGACATCTGTAGTCGAATTATTTGCCAAATTATTAAATGGTGGACTTTAACTGCAGTTTGGCTCTTTGATTCAGGGAATTCATTCATGTCCCTTGCCACAAACGAGATATTTGATTCGAGGAACTGCTCTAAGCGTGTATTTTCATGCAATGTTTGTTACCGCACGGCGAATGAGAAAAAAAAAACTCTGCATTTCCCGGAAACTTAGATGCACACGGCAGGTAGCGTCAGAAAGCCGCGTGTATTATTTCGCTCACAAAATCCTACACGAGGTTATAGTTTGGTTGTAGAGCTAACTTGTTTACACTCGGTGCAATGGTTTGTTCGATACGAATAAAATACGAACTGAATAAACAAAGAGCGCTGGTCGCTCACTTACCAAATCTGTAGAGACAGGACAATCACCAGCAACTAGAGCCGCGTCTTTATTAAGAGAAGACTACAAGCGAATCCGGATCTCAGCGTTTGCAGATGAGAACAGCTCTCAGGTAAACAATAATCCTCCTTTGACACGTAAGTTTTTGTTGTCGAGCGTCGCGTACACTGTTAATCCACACGTGACTCCAGCTGAGCTCTCACAGAGAGAAAATGAACACAAAACTTTACGGCAGCAATTTATAAAAGCAAAACTTCACGCTTGTTTTGCCAACACAACGTGGCGTCTCTGTCGTCTGAACACTATGACAGTAATGAATATTAATGAAGTTGTACAATAGAGTGCACTGATTGGTTTGAACCAAGCTTTACTCATGCATTAATGCAGCAGGCTGTAAGACGTAATAAGACTCACTCTGGCACAGACGCCCAGTCTGCACGCTGGAATACACGCTATTATGTCATGACCGTGACACAGCTTCAAAAATTCGTTTCAAACCGGAAGTACGAATTTGCTTGAAATAACGCAAAAACAACCAATTTACACTTTTTAGTGAAATATAGGTGTCCTAATAGTGTTTTTAGCAGTGTGGGACACATATACGACTGTCAACAGCTCGAAAAATGTGTTTTGGTGTTTCGTGACCCTTTAAAACTTACCTTTTGTATTTAGGGATAGAAGAATGGTGAGGCAGATTTGAAATTACTTTGCTTTAAAGGGCTTCTGGATGCACAAGCTGAGTTCCTCCCATTGAGATGAATGCGAAAGTGAACAGACGACTCTCTCCAGGTATATCGCAGCTCCTCAGATGATTCAGAGGTGTTTAAATGGGTGTTGCCTGCTAGTCAAACATGAGAAGTGACCAGATTTACTGCAGTTCCCCTGGTAACAGAAGACCGACAGTAGGACGCTCTGCTTTATTGTCTTGGGATTTACTAATTATTGTTGACATTGAATTCCATGTGACGGCAGTTGCAATTACACTGTGCTAATTAGCATTTGCATTGTGCTCCGTGTCAGTATAGACAGATATCGCTGTATGAAAGATGGAGGACTCTTGAGATGCCTCTGAGTACGACAAGCTCATGGTCTGTCAATAGAACCGCCTCAGGGAAATTAGCGAGCAGAAGACAATTGAAGGAACCATAATGCAGTTCAGCCGCACGCATGCATAAACACACACGGTCTCCTACATGTAAAATAATGAATCATTTCTCTGGAGTGGGATGCTGTGAGTAGTTTTATTCAGTCCGCAATCACCACTTGTTCGTGGCTGTTGTACTTTTTTTTGTCTCACATCTGACATTCAGGATCATCCCACTTTCAGTCGATGTAGGTTTACCTCTTCTATTATTAGACAAAAAAGCAGGATAACAGTGAAATAATCAGTATCAGAAAATTATAGCAAATTATTTAGGTCAGGACTGTGCCTCAAGGCTTAGCGAAATTGGAAGATTATTAAAAATAATTATCGATTTCCTT